TCTCTCTCTCTCTCTCTCTCTCTCTCTCTCTCTCTCTCTCTCTTGTGGAAACATTTTCTCAGCGACGTTGACTCACGACCTTATGTGTTGTGTAAATATTTTGATGGAACCCGCCATTGCAACATCAGCGAATGCTGGAGAGACCAACGTCATGGAAACAGAAGTCATTCTAGGTGGTCGTTCCCCTGCAAGTGAGGTCAACGAAACGACAGTTCATCAGCAGACCAGCGGCGGGGGCACAACCATTGCTGCATGTGAAGAGGTGTTCGCCACAATTCATGTGAAAACTGAGTAAATGCTTGCTGACGTGGATGACAACGATAGCGGTGCACGAGGGAACATTGTTGAGATAGAGAAGGTGGGTGGAGAGAGAAACAAGCAAGATGTTGGCAGCGAGGGTCCTCACAGTGGATGCATTGTCACAGATGCAAATGTGACAAAGACAATGGCAGGAGAGAGATACTCGTACGATGTGAATTGGGTGTCAGGTCGTGTTCAGCCAGATATCGTTGGAGGTGTGCATTGCTTTGCTTTCAAGGTTGTTGATCAGTGGGTTGTTGTTCCTGCCCCAATGAAAGGAACATGGCGTAACGTATGTCTATCATTGATCTATGACAGAGTGTTGAGGTTGAATGATGGGGCAACGACCCACGATGCTTGCCAATACATATTGGAGATGTATCGTGTTCTACAGGCAAAGGGTGAGTTGCGGCTCAACGATTTCGTATATGACAACTTTGACTGCGGACAGTTGTGGGTGTTGGGTGGCCAGCAACGCATGGGGGGGGACGCCAGTCAGCCAGAACGATGCAAAAAGGGATCCTCGATGGGGTTGGGTGCCATCTGCAATCCCATTTGGATATGGCCGTGTTAAGATGCAAGTGCGTGATATCATGGGCAATGTGTGGAGCGCGCATTACGTGAACGGCATGTTTTCCTTCCGTCATTTCGACAGAGAAGCGACTGCAGACGAAAAGGAGACGATGACATGCCGAACACGCGATGCACGCATCTTCTACCCACCAATTGGCAATCCTGTCGAGTTGGCCCTCGCTGAAGGGATGATGTTTAGTGGTGAGAAGTGCATCACATACGTCCACGTAAGGGGGAAAGAAGCCACATTTGATGGCATCTGTATGGACGTATGGGACCATGTGGCAATGCGGAAGGATGTGTTTGCAGCCAGTAACATTGCGGCCCATGTGATTCAAGAAGGGCAATTGTACCAGCGTGTGGCCCGTGACATGTACAGGTACCATGTCAATTGGGTACCTGGTTCTTTGCATCCAACAGTTGTTGATGGCAAAGTGACACTGGCAGCAAGAATGCAATCTGGTGAGTGGCTGCCTTTGGGTTGGATGCATGCTGGCGTTGTGGAGCATTGGCAGTTCTTGGTGGTGGTGACACGTGTCTCCGTTTGCAATCCTCATGTGAAGGACTGGGGATTGTTGGAGGAACACGCGCAACGTTGCTGGGAGAAGAGAAGGGAGGAAGAACAACAGATGGTGTGCATGGGATACGACTCCCATAATGACCAGGCGATGTGGTCGATCGTGGAAGACTCGTGCACCGAGCAAGCACGTCCCTCGACGGATGACATGTTTCTGGAGGGCATTTGACGCAGACACGGGTGCACATCACTTCTTGGGTGGGTCCCTGTCGTCTGTCCCATGACATATGAGCATGGTGAACAGATGTGCATGAGATTCAGAGAACCTCTGGGTGTCCCTTTCCAGCTCACGTACATAGATGGACTGCTGCGACACATTCAATACGTGGGTGATGACGACGCTCGTGCTGCATCGAATGCACAACCAACAACACAGCAGCAGCATGACATTTCAAATTTGCCAACTGAGGTCGACGGCCCGGAAACAGCAAATGATGGGGGATGTTCTAATGCAGAACCCGACGATGGTGACACCCCTGCGGAGCACGTGACAGGAAGGGCAGAGAAGAAGAAGAAGCAGTGCACATCTAGGCCGCCTCGTGGACTCGGGAGTTCCACAAAAGCAAAAGCAGCCGCTGCCCCAGTTCCAAAGCGCAGGCGCCGCGCAGGAATGGCAGCATTGGCAGAAATTCGGCAACTCCAACGATCTACTCACTTGTGCATCGCTTTGAGGCTGTTCATGAGGGGCGTGCGCGAGGTCGTCAAAAAAGAAATCGCACCAGGGCAATCTATCAGGTTTCAGATGAACTTCATACGTGCGTTGCTGGAAGCAGCCGAAGCATATCTCATCAACCATTTCGAGAGAACAAACATCATTGCTATACACTGCAAGAGGGTGACGATCCAGCTAAAGGACCTGAGGCTGGTTGATAACTTGGCCAAGGCTCGCTGGGTATACAAATATGAAGGCATTATCGACGAGCAGAAGAGAGCGGAAAAGCTACGGCAGATGAATGCTGCAAGGCGGGTCGAGAGAGAAACGCAGGCGGGGCAGGGGGTGTCTGAGAAGACAGCAGCAGCACGCAAAGGCGGTGACACTCCAGCGGGGTCGTCGAAGAGGAAAGGAGTGACGCGCAAAGGCAATGCAACAAAGAAAAGCATGAAATAAGAACACACTGAAGACTCCACTGAGACCAGTTTGCACACACACAAATATAATGTGTATGAGTGTGTAGGTGCGGTGTTGACTGTATGCACTTGCATTGACTTGCTGTTTTCTGCAGCCTGCGCCGACGCACAGAGGCTGTACTTTAGTGTGTTGTGTGTTGTATGCTGTGTACTGTAGTGTGTTGTGTGTTGTGTACTGTCACCGGTGCACGACGTGTGCTGCACGAGTATGGGGCCAGCAACGGTCTGGCTATCCTGCTGTGTGCTGTGTGTTGTGTGCTGTGTGCTGCATGAGTTGCTGTGTGGTGTGTGTTGTGTGCTGTGCAACTGTGTGCTACATGAGCTGTGCAACTATCTGTTGCATGAGCTGATTGACTGCGAGGCTGTACACTAACCCGTCGGGTTAGATTCGTAATTTTATTTGGCTGAGGGCTAACCGAGAGACCTGCCTGTAAGGAAATTCGTGAGGGACAAATCTGTAAATCTGGGAAAATACAGGCCCGGTACTAACCGAATTCCTACAGCTACCCTAACTGCCTATAGCAGGTCCGGGCTACCCCTAGGACAGTCAAGCCCTAAGTGGCCTATGCTGCTAGACGGTCCTATAGCCTATAGCCGGGTCCGGTAGAGGCCGAGAGGCCCAAACAGCAATGGTACCGGTCGGTCAGTCAGTCCAGTCTAGGTCTAGAGAGTCTATAGATAGGATAGGCCCACTGTTCCGAGTCACGACTTTTGGCAGTTCATTTCTCGCCGCACAGCGTTGGAGAAGCCAAGCAAGTTGGTGGCGGTATTGGTCTGCAGGCGGCATCCTGAGACGCACCGTGACAACAGCCATAGCCGGCCACATCTGAGTCTGCCATAGCTGAGGCATCCTCAGCGCATCTAGCCCTGGGGGTATCTGCGTATGGTCGGGCTGGACCGAGGCTCTACAGTGGTGGTTCGTGGGTGGTGGCAGCCATAGCTGCCTGTTCCTTCGTCAGAGTTGTCCATTGGCACTGAAGACTTCATCGCAGGACCTGTTCTTCATCAGGGTGGTTGGCGCTGGCCTCTGGGAGGCTGTTCTGATGCAACGCTACTAACTGGGTGTAGGATAGAGAGTGGGGTGTGAGTTCTGAGTGTGGCGAGATACGGGAACAAACTTGTTACGATAATTGTATGAGTGGTTCATCATCAGTAACCTTTCCAATTGTGATCTTTGCAGGTTCTTTCTTGTGATTGGTTGTTGGGAGTTGTGTCAGGGAGTGAGAAACACTGCGTGTCTTCTCCCCACCTGTGCATGTCTGTCTTCCGCTGCTTATTTTCACCTGTGTGCAGTGTGGACTTTGTCTCCTCTCTCCCCTTCTCTTACGCATGTATGGGTGTGTGTGAGATTGTCTGTGTGTGAATGGCGATAAAATTCGTCAGGCAACCAAGTTCATAACAGTGAAGACTTGTGCTCATTCTGGTTGTTGACGATGCATGCTGTGAACACACTTTCGTCTCATGGCGTGAAGACTTTTGCCATTGTGAGATACACAGCAGAGAGAATATGTGGAGAGGACTTGTTCTTACCTGGACTTCGCAATTCGTGTTGTTGATGATGAGCGCAGACAGCGCCGGGCAGATAACTTCTGGTAACGAAGGGGACGTGATACTTTGTTGAGCGTTGAATCCAGGAACTCTTGACTCTCTTATTGGATACTGGTTATAATGATTGATTCTGTTTTGTGGTCAATGACATCTACTCCTTTTCTGCAGTCTGATGGTGGTGACGTCATTCTGGTTAATGTCAGACTGCGACATGTGTGACAATGCAAGGTGACATGTGCACTCTATCGTAAGTGCAACGGGGAAGGCTCAATGCATATGTAGAGATAATTCACTTTACTGTGTATTCTGTCACTTTGCTTCTGTGAGTCTTCCACTGCGTTTTCTTTTTTCCACGTTGTGGCACTCTACTTCCTCTCCCCTTCCTTCTCTGCATGTATGGGCGTGTACGGGAGTCTATGTGAGTGAGGGCTGGCGAAATTGCAGTGGACAATCATGTTCATAACACATCAATGACCGAGAGTCTGTGTGTGTCGTAGAGTTTGTGTGAGTGTGTGTGACACATTGTTCACTAATTCTCTGTCTGTTTGTGTTGTCTTATGCGCCGCACGGTTGAACCACCGAAGCAGAATTGTCGAACCAAAATCTGCATCTTCCCAAGCATTAAGTCTACAGTGTACGTCGTTGCTTTCGTCGAGGAAGGTATCGTTGCCTGCGTACCTTGAAACTCAAGCCTGCCCTCACTCTCTTGCTCCTATATCCCATGTCCTGCTCTCCCTCTGTTTGTTTTCTTCTCCCTACAGCATGCACACTCCCAACTAAAACACACTCATGACGTCTGCGGTGGTGACGGGAAGTGACTATCATACTTCCCGTGTTTGTGACATTCTGTGACTTTCTGTGACACACGGACATACACATGGACATACACAGACACACTTACATACACAGGCACACGGACATACATAGGCACACGGACATACACAGACACACTTACATACACACATACATACACAGACACACGGACATACACAAACACACATACAAGTCACACACACACGGCCAGACACACGGACATACACATACAAAGACACAGACACAGACACACGGACATACACTGACACGGAGACATACACATACATATACATACTCACACACACGGACACAGACACAGACACACGGACATACAGATACACAGACACAGACACAGACACACGGACATACAAATACACAGACACACGGACAGGAGTTTGTGCTGCGGTACTGAGCGCTTGAACTCAGGGCGCTGATGTGGAGAAGCCACATGGACATACACACGCACAGACAGACACACAGACACATACACAGATACAAACACACACACACACACACACACACACATAGATACAGACACACACACACACACAGACGCATACACAGACAAAGATACACACACACACACACACACACACACACACACACACCGACACATGCACACACACACACACACCGACACATGCACACACACACACACACACACACACACACACGATCTTGGCGGAGGACTATTCCGTCTTAGGTAAGTTGTACTCTGCCCTCCATGGCTTTATGAATGGATGGTTCCTGGCCCTGTGATACGTACAATGCTTCACACGTTTGGGAAGTTGGGGGTGTCATGGTGGCTTTGTCTTTGGTTGGGTGGTCAACGTGTTTCTAGATTCGGGGTTGG